GCTGTGGCCGGACGCGCCCCCGTGGCAACTCCCGGGGCCTCTGGCCGTGGCTGTCTCGCCCCCTCGGCGTTGCGGAGGTGGAATGAGGAGCCCCCCGTCCCCGAAAGGGTCCCAAATAAATCCTGGAGGCGCGGGGGGTTCCCCAGGCCTGCTGCGGGCGGGAGCTTGGCCGGAGGAGTTGACCGCCCCTTCGCAGATGCTTCTGGCCTGGGTCGCCTCGCGGCTCCCGGGGGGAGGACCGGCTAAGAGCCCCCCGCCCTCCAGCAGCCCCGTCCCAAAACGCCCCGGCGCCTCCCCAGCCCCATGGCGACCCTGGCTTTTCTGCCGTTCCTGGCCCTTTCTTTTCCACACGTGTAGCCTTGGGGGAGAAGGGCGTCTGTTTCTAGGCAGCCCCTTGGCCTTCGCCTGAGCCCTACCCACGCATGGTTAACCAGAGATAAGCAGCCCGGCTTCCTGAACCCTGGCTCCACAGGCTGCATTCACAAGGCTAAAATGTGGGTGGCTAGTTCCTGGTTCGGATCTGTGTCCTCCATAACACCCTGGTTCCCGTAACGTGCCAAGTCATACTACGGTTTGCTTGGTTGGGCTCAGCGTGTTGGATTGTGTGAATCGGGCATGTCAGCCGTGGCCTGGTACAGTGTGTGAAACTCCAGTTAATGCATAGCTCCAAATCCCAAAATCACTAGCAAAGCTTCAGTTAATTTGAATTTAGTTTGCTTTAAAATTGCCCTGCTTCAGTTCAGGCACCTCCTGGTCTTTTCTGAATCAGGCAGTTTGGTTTGGGATTTGAATAAAGCTGACCTATATCTTAAACTTGTTACATCCATAGATGTTCTGTCTGCATGTTTCTTCTCTAAGGTTCTTAGGAAATGGCTTCAAAGTGTAATTCAGTTCACTTTGAATGACCCATCTGGCCTGGTGTTATCAACCCTGGTCTTCCCCAAGCAGTCTGCTCCCTCCACTGGCATGGTTGTTGGTCATGTGGCTGCGGGTGATGGGACATGCAGTCCAACATATCTGGAAGCACCAGTTTAGGAAGCAGAGTCCTGAAACATCTTGGGTACTGGTTCTCCCCTGTCCTGCTGCCTCTGCACATCTCTTCAGAAAGAGACTGAACCTCTTGTTCCCATGTGCACCAAAAGGGTTCTGCCACTGAGCTAAAGCCTTTTTTTGGTCATCTCTCTGCTGCTCTTGACTCAAGATAGCAAGAGAAGCATGATGGCTCTCCCTAAATTGGCCATTCATTAAGAAGTACTGTTTTCTAAAACAGATTTTGTTTCTGAACCTGCTAGTAATGCAGTCATTGTGTTCACTGAGACCTGTGAAGATTTCAGGGCTGTTTTCTTTTGTAAGCAACTGGCTTTTAGTATCTAGCTTGATCTGGTACCTTTGTCCCTATCTAAGATCCATGTTCACATAAGCTTCTGGATTTATGTATGAGTAGAGCTTCTGGGCCCTATCTAGAGGTAACTTTAGGATTCCTATAAAATTTTGTTCGCCTCTAGCTACTTGTGAGTGATGTGTTACATTTTTAAATTATTATTACCATATACATTTTTATACTAAACATGCAGGAGTGCAAAAAATGTGTTTAGAGAGGGTGAGGAAGATGAAAGCCTACAGAAATTATTTCCTATTGTTTTCAGGAACGGGGCGATGCTGTAACCGAATGCCTGGGTCCTGGGAACCTCCTTTGTTTTTGCTCCCGTTGTGCCAGATGGAATCCTGCTGCTGACGACGTGGGAGCACCCTGCCCCACCTTCTGAGCACTGTGTGGCCAGTGTCACAGTGGCCCCTCCCCCCAAAACCCTCCTCCCTGCCTGGAATGCTGTATGTGCCTTGCTCTTCCTCTTGCAGGACAGCGCCCAGTGGCATTGGGGCTACAAATTAAAGCAGACTCAAGGTACCTGTCTTTGCTGCTGTTGGTGACCTGAGTCCACAAATCTTTTCTCTGTGAGATTTGGGGACCTGTGTTTGGGTGCAGATATGAACTCCTTGTTTGTACTCCATTTATTTTTATGTCTTATGCATGTTCCATGAATGAACATCATTGTGAAAGTGGAATAGAAGAGTAGCTGTCCAGATTATGAATTCAGAAAGGAACACGCCCTGTTTACTGTGGTATATCTGTGACTTACGTGCATCTATGCCATTGCCTATTCATATGGCCAGGCGCTGTGATTTCTGCCCACCCCTCTGCCTGTAATGCTGGATGTTCTGGACTTGTTGGCACAAACATCCTGACTGTAAAAGCAGTTCAACAGTACAACCATTGGCTTGGCAAGGTGCTGGAATCCTGCGATTGGGGCTTTTTGTGGGTTCTCAGGATCTGAAAGAAAATTCAGTGCAAAATGCCCCTTCAGATTGTTTCCCTTTATTAAATAAATAGGATCTAGTTTTGATTTCCCATCCAGACTTCCTAAGTATAATATAATCAAATGGTGCATACCATCGCCTTGTCCCTTCCCTTCCCACATGAAGTTAAGCTTTAGATTTTAAACTGCATTGGAACTTTTCTCTCTTTGTTGAGATGTGTAGCATAAAGCTTCTCTGAGCACATATATATTTGCAAGACATACTTTTAGCACAGTGTGTATGTACCTCTCTGTGTTTCTAAATGTGCCTCTCTGTTTTCTAAATAATTTAACTACTAGCTAGAATCAAGAAAGGGCTTTAAAAAATTGGCCAGCAGTTTCCCTCTTATCTGTCAGTCTGGTAGCTGATTTTTCTCTGACTAGTAAAACCTCTTATCTTCCACCGCGTTCACCAGAGGCCATCTGTGATGGGTCAGCCAGGTCCTGCAGTGCCACCTGCTCTTCAGGTCTTAAGCAGTCTTCCCCAGCCGTGCCCTGCTCTGCTCTTGGTCATTCTCCAACTAGCAAGGCTTCTGCAGTATAAACGCTGCACCATCCATTATAGATTTTAATCAATACTAATCTTCAGCAGCCACCATTTTCTAGATCAGTGTTGTTCTGACTTGGCAACTTTAAGATGTGTGGACTTCAATTTCCAAAATTCCCCAGCCAGCATGCTCGCTGGGGAATCCTGGGAGTTCAAGTCCACACATGTTAAAGTTGCTAAGTTTGAAAAATACTGTTCTAGATCCAAGCCAACCATTATGCACCTTCATCAGGTTCTGTCCCCCAGTCCTTCTTCCCAGAGTTGTTTAGTAATGTTAAGACTCCCCCTCTGATGCCAGTCCGATAGCCCTTTTTCCCTCATGGAATCATTTTCCTGTGAGGAATCAGAACTAACTGAGCTTCTCTTAGAGTTACTACAAAATGCTAAATGTTTCTGGTGGATATGTAGACAGCCAGCAGGAAACATGGCCAGTAGGAAACCATGTCTTAATGGAGGTCATTGTATAATAATAATGTTATGTATTAAATTTATATGCTGCTCAACTCCCAGCAACTCTGAGCAGTTTACAAATTGTTAAAAACATTTAAAAACTGTTCACATCTGACTCCCAGGGTCCCCTCATCTTCTCATTGTTGTCTGGGCAGTTCTTGGAACAGCAGAACCCAACCTCTTGCCCTTTCAGGTACAGCTGGGGTTGCAGTCTCCCCCTCCCCTTTGTCTGGAAGGGTTCTAGCACTAGTTCTACTGTTTGGGGGTGGATTTGTTTAGAGTCTGGAAAGTCCTCTTTGTGGGGGACTGAAGCTTGGAATTTGCAGTGAGCATGGGGTTGGGCTTGATGGCCTAAATGGCTGCTTGCAAATTATGTGCTATTTCTATGACGGTAGAGCTGCACACAACTCTATACCTCTCTGCTGGGGTAGAGAATGAGTGTAGAACTGTGTATTATATTGATTTATCTGTGCAGAATCCTATAAAATTGAATTAATATCCTTAAGGCCTGTCCACACAGATCTCAAATATATTAAAAAATCAGCCTGGGGTAGATAAGCTCAGAAGTGCAAGTCTGTGTCAACGCATTCAGCTACTAGGTGGTATCTATATTATGCAAATGTAGGTGTTGATGTTTCCCTAGCTTTCTGTGGTTGCACTCTGACTAAATGCAGATAATAGGTTTTGGCCAAAGAACAGGGAACTTAGAAGAAAGTTTGTGGAAATTTTGTTCCTCCTTTGTTCTTGTTCAGGCTTTTAATTGATGCAGTTTGAATCTGTGTGCATGTATGTACATACATGCTTTCTCCTATGAGAATGAGCCTTGGGAACTTGCTTTCCAAATGGAATTTAATCTTGGGGTACCAGATTCCTTTCTAGAGCACCAGCTGTGGCATGGGCTGTGAACATTTGTGGAGTGGGTTTTCAGATGCTGCTATGTCACTGAGTATCACAGCAACCTAGATGGTGGTTCACTGGATTCTTGTCAATTTGGCTCAGCTGGTGGAATTTCCAGCTGTTAGAAGTGCCTGTTTAAACAGTCCTGGCCTTTTACAGGAGTGAAAGGAGTTTTCGTAGATGCACCAGCAGAGCTCTTCCTTAGCCTCTCCCACCACATCTAGGGGTTGATAATAGGCTGACTGACGCTTGCAGATGGGCCCCAGTATCCCAAGTGCTTGGTGGCAATGGCCTCATCACCCCCACTGAAGATGTGAAGAGGGGATCCCTCTGCAGGCTTATAGTGAATGTGAGAAAAGGCTCATCTGAGTAACTCTTGTTTCTGTAGCCTGATCATTTTTGCTGCAGTTGCAAGAGAAAACAGACTTTGGGAGCAATGTGAATTATGATTCAGTGCTGCTTCATACATGGGTGCAGTTCTTGGCAGTGATTGTGACCTCCATCCTTGCAGAGAAGCAAGCTGCTGTCACTTTCAAAGGCCTGCCATTTCTTTCCATTTGTAGTCTTGATGGGGCATCAGAGCTCTGCCAGCTGGTTCTGCAGTGTAAGATTAGAGTGGACTTAGCCTTTCTTGGATGTTCAGAAGAAGCCAAATATATAAGAATTTGCTTTGTAGAGAAGAGGAGGTTCAATGGGAAAGAGGATATTTGGAGTAGGTGAGGTTTCAGGAGCTACGGGCCGATCCGCCAAAGAGAAGTGAGGAGAGACCTTGGAAGTTAGTGCTTTCATTGACCCAAGATTAGCATGGTAAGCAAGAAGAAGATGTCCTCTGTAAGCATGGAGCCTGTGACCCAAGTCCCTGGCCTGGATTCCTCAGAACAGCCATTGCAGGAGCAGCACTATCCTTGGGTGGACTGTCAAAGCGCCAAGAGGTGCACAGAGGCTCCTTGGAAGTAATAGCCTGCACACTGAGCTGAGTTGTGGGAAGCTTGAATCTCTTGGTATGGAGCCTGTGGTGATGGCCTGGGAGAGACTTAAGCCCACCCAGCTACATCTGGCTCTGCTGGGCCTGCTGGCTGAAACGGGACATGGCAAGCCTGCACGCAGGACTCTTTCCGACCCATCGAGTTGTTTGACCACAGAATAGATTCTTGCTGCCTGCCTTTAGATCTTGCACTGAACTTTTGATTCACCCAACTTTGTTCACTTATGATGTCCCAATTTGCCAGTACAGATTTAACCTTTGGTCTTTGGAAAAGGGAAGAGCTGAGTGTTCAGGGATAAAATATTTAAACTATACCGGAACACCAAATTGGGCTGCCTGTGGCTGTTGCAGGGAGAACAAATCCTGCAGTTTAAGAGGATACTTCTGAGCTGCAAGTTCTCCATGATGGTTGTCCTGAACTGAAAAGAAACCGTGCCGTTGACAGTCTCTGCCTGATGAGTATCGTCCTGTTGACACAGGACACAGATAGTCATGACGAGGCTCAATTTTCTTGCACTGCTTTCAGAGTTCCCTGCTGTGTCTGGATTAGGTCCAAAGGGACAGCAACTGCAGAGGATTTCATTCTCACCTATTCCTTAGAGATTTAGTTTTAGAAATGGATTAGTCTGCAGCAGGAAAATTCATCAAGATCTATTACGGAGTCCATAGAACTCTTTGATTTGGAGAAAAGTGGATTCTTCCATCATTTTTCAGAAGTGATTTTGGCAAAGTAGAATGTTGCTGAGAGATAAAGATATTTTTCATGGCAAAGCCTGATACTCCAAAATCCTGAGGCAGTTCTTGGAAAGCGCACAAGTGGATAGTGTTAACCTCATATTTACTGCTATTCTTTGAAGTATCTTTGTGCAACCAACTCCCTCCCCCCCTTTAGTGAAAGCTGAAGGCTAAGAAAATTCCGTGGTTCCACACCAGCTTAGTAGAAAAGCATCTACTTCCTGCCTCCAATGTGGAATCCAGAAAGAGAGTATCTCCTCTCCAGCATTTTGATAACTTCTGTAAAATAAAGATTGATGAAGAAGATGGTTTAGCTTCATATTTAGCAGCTCCAGGGCTAGCTTTAGTCTCTGGCAGGTAGAGGGTTCCTGCGCTGAATGCTATGTAAAAATAAATATCTATCCATAGAGAAGTTGAAAAAAAATGGGCCTAGAGACCTTTTCTCTGCTTTGCTGGTGAGCTGATTGCTGGGCTTTTATTAATCTGGAGAGGATTTGACTAGTGCAGTCCCCACTTCCTTGAAGTGTTGCAGCTCAGGCACAGAGGTGGGTCCTCAGGAAGACTCTGACTTCTGGAGTTCAGTGAGAAGGCAAGGGGAGACGTTGGGGCCAGAATGTTAGAAGAGCTGTTCCTGGGAGGTGGAGTTTTTTTGTGTGTGTGTGTGATGATGATGATTTTTGGCCATTTCTGTTTTTAGGGAATAGTGTAATTTTATTTCTTATTGATGTATACCTCCTGCAGTTGCATTTTTGCAAGTTGCCCAGCCATATAAACCCACAAACAAACAGATAGGGAAAGGCTGGCAAAATCAGGGTTGGCTTTCCAGCTCTTGAGCATGGGCTGGCATTGCTTTGTCTGCATGTGGGCACTGAGGCATTCCTGGCATAGCTGTGTACCATGAGGTTCTGAGAACTCGGCTGAAATCCAAGACAATGTCCCCTTGGGTGGAGGTAAGCGCCTGGCCGCCCTTGGATTGTGGGTTTGCCCTCAGGCTTCCTGTTCTAAAGGATGCTTTAGGCTTCTTTCCAAGGTGAAAATGACTGTAGGACACTGGCTGCCTAGGCCAGGTTTGTGGGTTCTTCTGCCACTTGGTGCACCAAGGCTCAGAGGTTGCTTTTCCCTCCCTTCTTTGCTCTCCCTACTGACTGGACCACACAAAGCACCCATCAGGCTTCCTCCAACAGCAGTAGCAACAGATTCTTGGCCCTACTAGGTTGGGTTTGTTTCTCCAAAGTGCTGGAAAAAAAGACTTCTTAAAAGCGCTCACTGGGATCTCCATAACAGGTAAAGGAGGATTAATTGGAGGGTTGATCTTCAGATAATAAATGCTTCCAAATAACAAGTGATAAAGGGAGAGGACCACTTTGGGGAAAGGCCAGGGCTATGAAGGGCTTGGTCAGGAGGGCGAGCAAGGAGCTTCCCTGTCCTGCTTGCTGGGGGACATGGCCAGGAGCTCCTCTTGCCTTCCTGCCTTGCTGGTGGGTGCTTTCATGTGGCCTCTCTGATGCTGAGGGTTATACTAAAGATGCCCCCCTCCTTGCTTTGATACAAACTCAGGATCCCTCCCAGAAGAAACATCCATAGGTGAAGAACTATCTCCAAAGTTGCCATTTCTCATTTTCTCTGGGTTGCGTTCACTCATCCGCATATTCAGCCCTTGAGTTATGCAGAGCTGCCAAGATGGAGCTTGTCTCTGGTGTGTCATCAGTCAAACTATGGCTTCTCTCTGTCTTTTGCCAACCTTGCACAAGGAGGAGCTGCTGGTTGATGTTACCCTGGTGGCGATGAAGAGGCCTTGTGTACAGGGAAGACAGGGAACAGCACCCAGCCAAGACCCATAAGCCACTGTTGTACTTCAGCACAGGGTTTCGCCTTCTGTCGGCAACCAAGGTTAGCTGGAAGATACGCCCTTAATTGTCATAGCTCATGGGATCCTCCAGGAGGTTGTGCCCAAAATCCAGATGTGAAGACATTCAAGACTATTTTTGGTTGGGAATTCAGGTCAGAAAAGACTGTGTTGAAGCAAAGTTCACAGTCCCAGCAGCCCTTGTGGAAATCTCACCAGCATCTTCCTGTTGAATCAGGAAAGGGAAAACTGACAAGACTGCAGTGGGCTCATTAGGATTTGGGGACTGGTGGCGAGGGGCAGCAGGGTCTTGGATCTCAGCATTGTAAGAGGCCCCTTTGTCGCTTAGCTTTCGATCTCTCCCCCCTGTGAGCCCCAAAAGCCCCTCCTTCATTGGGCTGGGAATTGTTGCTGCATGGTGAGGCATGCTGGCTCTCGCCTTGTTCCAACTGGGGCTGCTTAAGCCATGATCCGGGCAGGCGGTTAGCTGGGCTTCCTGGTTCCGCAAGGGCTCTTCAGGGCCTTCCCTTAATTGCCTCGGAGCTTCAGAAACCAGAGAGCTCCTTTTTCTTGTTGACTTAATTGGCCTCTGGGCGGAGAGTGTGTGCATTTGATGCAAGAGGGAGGGTGTTAAGATCAGCAAGCCTCCCTGCAGGCCTTGAGGCTGCTGCTTGTCCTCCAGCCTGATGGAGAGCTGCTGGATCTGAAGAGGAGGCTGAGCACCCCAAGGAGAGAGGCAAGAGCCCAGCTTGCCCTGCTCATCGGAGAGGGAAGCAGGCAGACCGTCCCCCCTTTGCCAAGCCTGGCCAGCCGGGGCTCAGCTCGGAAGGGGTAGGCTGCCATCTGCTCATTCTCCTTCCTAGAAAGCTTGGGGCTTTGCGCACCAAATGGTCCTCCCAGGGAGGCCGAAACCCCAGAGCGCTGCCCCCAGCTGACATGTCAATACTTGGCAAATAATGCTGAATTGTTAAGTCCTGCTCTCTTCCCTGAGATCCCCTTTCCAAGCAGCCCCAAATCCGAGGGAAGTCTGGCTTCCCTGCAACTCTGCGCAGCTGCCTCGGTTCTCAGGAAGTGCCAGTTCCTCCTGCTTGTCAGAAAGCTCTGGGCTACGGAAGGGAGTGGTGCTGATGCGTGCCTGGGTGCCTTCTCTGGTTCCCTGTGCTTCTAGTGCATTGTTTGTCCATCTCAGCATCTTTAAGATGGGTGGACTTCAGCTCCCAGAATTCCCTGCAGCATGCTGGCTGGGGAATTCTGGGAGTTGAAGTCCACCCATCTTAAACGTGCTGAGATGGACAAACACTGTTCTTGTGCTTGTCCAGCTCTCGCCCAGTGAGAGGAACAGGAGAATCCTCCTGGGGCTTTTTTCCTTGTGAGTCAAGGGTCCCTTTCCTTTTGGGGGAGGGACAAAACAGTTCTGCCCTTGTTCTGCTCTTTCTGTGTAGGTGATTGATTTGCTTGCTTGTTTTAGAGCAACCGTGGTGCTGATCTTCACACTGGGACAGCATGTCGGGCCCGGTACCAAGTCGAGCGAGAGTCTACACAGACGTCAACACGCAGAGGCCCCGTGAATATTGGGACTATGAGTCACATGTTGTGGAATGGGGGTAGGTGACAGTGGATTCTGCAGGAGGTTGACAGCCTGCCCCCCATCTCTCTCCCCCCCAACTCGGCCTCTGCTCCTGAAGTAATAGGCTTTTTCTTGAGCTTCTCCTACTTTGTTTGACTGGGCCAGGAGCTGGTGTGCCACTCCCAGGCTGCAAGACCAGCCGAAATATGTGCAAGGTGTGGAGGCGAGGAAGAAGGCTGAATCCTCATAATTCTGGGATGGGAGCTGGCCAGGCTGGGTCTTCATCTGTGCTTTGGCAAAGGCCCTGCAAAATTATTCTGTCATCTCCCCCACCTCCCCCCCAAAAACCCACCTGCATGGCAAGCAATTCAAAATATTTCCTGGCCACTGTGTTTATCTCCTTGTGGATGCCAGGAGGGAAGGCCCCCGGAGTGACCAGAGAAACCTGCAGGCTTGGGGTGGAGGCTGAAGGAGAAAGGTGGGTGTGTTGAGGTGGGAATAATGAGGGGGTGTTGAGATCTCTAGCAAGGAGCCCCAGGGAGCTGGGTGGGATGTACAGGGCCTTGTCAGGATATAGAGCCACTGAGCTGGAAGAGACCATGCGGGCTCCTCAGAGAGAGAGTGCCGCCCAGTGCTTCTTGAGACCTGCTGTAGTTTGGCCAGTGGCCCATTTACAGCCTTTTTACTGCTTTTTATTTAGAAGGAGGACTCCAGCTGCAGTCTTTGCACCCTTCCAAGGAAGACCTATGTAGAGCAGTTTCAATAATTCAGTTTTGAAGTTACAGATAGAGGGAGTAGAGGAGCTGCTCTTGTCCAGGCAAGCCATAGTCATTGTACCAGCTGAAACTGTTACTAGGTGTGCTTGGTTGCCAAAGCACCTCCTCCTCTAATGTGATGGTCTCCAGATGCTATCCAGAGTGCTGGCTAGAGGTTGTGGGAATCAGTCCAATACTTCTGGAGGGGCAAGCCTAGGCCTCTGAGAGATTGAATTGCCTGGGGGTTGTAATGGGCCATGTGACATGACAGGTGGCGAGCCCATCGGCCTGAGACCTCTTGGGGGATCATTGGCGAACTGCACATTTTCAGCTTCACCTAGCTCATAGGGTTCTTGGTGATAAAATCAGGCATCCCAAACCCCACCCTAAATGCCTGGAGGGACACTAACGTGAAGGGCCACTTGGTTCCTTTGGCTCCTTGGGTGAAAGACTGGAAAAGGAATTGAAGAGGAAGAAGTAGGTTGGATGGAGCAGCATAGAAATGCGGGCAAGAAATAAATCAGA